TTTCTAGTGAGTGCTGTAATAATTGATTATCTGTATTCATATGGAAACAAATGAGCTGTTTTATGTTATCAAGAAGATACCTGGTTGGTGAAGGAAGAAACTTGTTGCCACTGAGGAAGGGAGCAGCAGTCCAACAGGAGACAGTCTTCTCATAGCCTGTTTGGAAAGCCATTAAAATTAGGTTTTCCTAATTATAACAGTTAATGGGCAGATGTGAACAAGGTTTACTAAAGGTTTTACAGTACTTTTAGAGTTAAGGCAGAAAGAATCTTTTTCTTTTGTTGTTTCTCTCCCTGTGATAGATAGGATTTATGGAAGATTGACCTGGCCAATGGTGCATACTGTGTTTAGGAGTGCAGAGCATAGTTTCCTTTGTTGTAGAGCACTTTATTTCTCTTAGGACTTTTGTTCAGTTTTGGTCTATACAGACCAATTTTCCTAAAGAAAAATTCACATTGAAGTTTAGTTCTGAGTGGGTGCTTTCGTGCTCTGATTCAGCAATCCAGTAAAAAATACAAAAGCCTGACATCTCTGAGAGACAGAGGGGAAAACTGTGGGCATGGAGGGAGTTAAGAATCTTCATGGGCAACATGCACTCAGTATAGAGAGCTTTGTAACAAATAATTCTCCAATAGCAAGTCTCTGTTAGTTCAAATGGGAGAGATGAGCAATCACCATTTCTTACTTCAAATTGGAGGGCTAGGCCATAAGAACCAAATGAAGTTTAATAAGGGAAAGTGCCAGATTCTGCACATGGGACCTGGCAACCCTGCTTGTGTAGACTGGGGAGTGAGAGGCTGCAGAAAAGCACTGTGGAAAGGGACCTAGGGGTCCTGGTCTGTGCCAAGTTGGACATGAGCCAGCAGTGCCCTGGCAGCCAGGAGCTGTGGGGGCATCAGGCACAGCATGGCCAGCTGGGCAAGGGAGAGGATTGTTCTGCTCTGCTCTGCTCTGGGGCAGCCTCACCTCCAGTGCTGGGGGCAGTTCTGGGTGCCACAACATAAAAAAGACATTAAACTGTGGGAGACGGTCCAAAGGAGGGTGAAGGGTCTGGAGGGGAAGCTGTATGAGGAGTGGCTGAGGTCACTTAGTTTGTTCCACCTGGAGAAGAGGAGACTGAGGGGAGACCTCATTGCAGTGTGCAACTTCCTCATGAGGGGAAGCAGAGGGACAGGCACTGATCTCCTCAGTCTTGTGACTGAAGTCAAGAAAAAGGCACAAAGCTGTGTTGGGAGAGGTTTAGTCTGGATATCAGGGAAAGGTGCTACACCCATAGGGTGGCTGGGGACTGGAACAGGCTCCTCAGGGAAGTGATTGCAGCACTGAGCCTGAGAGAGTTCAAGAAGTTTGAACAGCACACTCAGGCTCATGGTGAGAAGCTTGGGGATGGTCCTGTGCAGAGCCAGAGTTGGACTTCATATTCATCATGGGTCTCTTCCAACTCAGCATATTCAGTGATTCTATGGTTTTCTGAATATAGAAACCATGATGAAGATGTGACTGTTTCTTGCCAAGATAGTTTGAAATATAATTACTGTATCATTTCATCTATGTGAAGAAAGAGCTGCAGCTTTTAAAAGCTTCTGCAAGATTCCCCCTAAGTACGATCCCAATTTTCATTCACACACGGACATCCTGATTTTTTTTCTTAAATGAATGAGCAGAAGAGAAAAAAAAATAGGATAATTCTCAGATACTCTCTCTTTTTGTCTGAAAGCAAGAGCATTCCCAGCAAGGAAGGGACAGAACAAGAATTTTAAAAGCTCTGAAAGATTTCAGGTTAGGAGGAGAAGGTGTCAAAGTTAATCAACTGCAAATCACTGTTTAAGAAATTCTTCCTCCCCTGAAACATCATTGAAGAAGACAAGCTGAGGGCAGACCTAATTCCAGGCAATTTATAGGAATGCCTGAGTACCTTGACCCTCACAATTTGAGCTCTGAATTGTAAATTGTGTATCCAGCTACTTGAGTGGAACCCAGAATTTTGAACCTGTGAAAAACCTGCTATAAAGATATCCTTTGCAATAGTGCCCTGCAGGGAAATTCACAGAAGTGATTCAGAAAATACAGCTAAGATAAATGCTTCGGGATATTTTCAGCCTGGTTGTTATATGAATATTCCTGAACTGCGGAGGTTGTGTAACTTCAGCTTAAGCTCTCAGAATATGGGACAATCTGGGGACATTTTTTATACAGTTAAAGCTGCAGCATAATTTCCTGAAGGTGAAGGAGAAGATTGTGCTCTCAGGGTAGATTGTTCTTTTCACAGCTGGCAGCCTGTCCTATTCACAAAGGGGTGCTCTGAGAGCAGTCTGTGAGGTGAGGCAACCAACCTGAACTGGTGCCAGCACCCAGGAAATGTTCCAGAGCAGAAGGGTTTACACTGGATCTTCTCCTGAACCAGAGAGGAAGTGCAAAAAATGGATTGCATGGAACAGAGTGGCTTGGTGTCCCGCCAAGGTCAGCCCACCACAGTGCAGTTCAGCACACATCCCTAAGGATGTGCACTACTCATTCACCTGCTTGGCACAAGGATCTTTTGGGGTTCATTTTTCCCATAAAAAGGAATTCAGTAAACTTAGAAATGGCCATGGTAATCAACTGCTATTGATTTCTTTTTAACATCACAGGGGGCCTAAAAGTAAGAGGGAAGATTTTGCAGAAAAATATCTTTGCTGATATGCACTGAGAATTTGCAGATAACTTGTTTCTTTAGTATATGCAAAAAGATTTAAGAAATCAGAGGTAATTTCTGAATTTTGATCTTACTCTCAGATTGGGAAGCCAAGTATCAGGACCAACATAATATGTCCATATTTTTAAGGAATTTGAAGAACCTGTTCTTTAGGAGAAAGCTAACAAGAGGTCATTTTCTTCATGATGAAAATCTTTTTAATAGGATTATTCCATGAGCCAGAATTTTCTTTTCTTTTTTCTATTTTTTTTTTTTACTCTTGGCAGTGTAAAGTAAGTAAGATAGAATGTCATCATAAGTAACTTCCATTAACATTTGGTAACAAAGGTTTCCTGCCATGCTTGCTTGAGAGCTGAAATGTAAACCCAATGAAGGCCAGCTGGACAATTTCTGAGGTTTAGAGGCTGATTCAAGCATCTAATACAGGATGTGGAGCCTATCACAAGCCCCAGCAGTGGAGGAATCTTCAAAAGACTAATTGTCTATCAGTCCTGGAGCATTTAATTGTCACCAAGTTACAATTCACAAAACAAGTGAAAATAAGATGGGTAATTAATATATTGTACTTCTTTTTTTCTATGAGGAAATAGTATAAAATATCAACTAATCTTAGTCTTGGCCTTGACCTTTACAGTTTTGGATTTGTGTAACTGTCATTAAAATTACCTGATGTTATACTCTGATGAAGAAACCATTGATTTTTAGGAAGGCTGGATGCTCCATGGCGAATAGTCAGTGTGAGGAAGAGTGGCTACAGTGCAAGCTTACAGATTTAGCTCAGAGAGTTCTAAGATTTCAGCTGTTACATGCAGAAATCTAATTTGGGAAGCTGTGAAGACTTATTTCAGTATATTAAGCCTGTAGTTTGGGCACACAAAATATTTACTGCAAACATTGCAGAGATTAAAAGAGAAGCTTCTCTGTAGAGGCCTCCACAAACATTCATGCAGTTTAGAAAAGATTCAGTATTTTGATCATAAAATCCACAATGTGGACTTTCAAACCACATGCTAAATAGAGTTCTCCACAGAAGTCCAAAGGCTCAAACTTTGTTGGATTTATAACCAAGTGATTACTTAAAAGCTGGAAAGAAATTGCCTTTATATGTCAATGAGCTTACCCACTTTTGTCTCAAGCAAAACTCATGAAAAAATACTCTGTAAAGGAAGTGCCATTGCATATACTGATAATCCTGCAAAATTCTCCTGGCAAGAGGATTCATTAATTCATTTGCTTTCCAGAAATCAACTTTACAGGCATTAAGTAATCTACCTATTACAAAATTCCATGGAAACTTATAACATTCTTCCCAATTATGTTTTTGAGGATCAAACTGATTGAGAGAAATAATAAATGTTGAAGGGAAAAGAGGAAGAATGCTTTTATATATCCAACTGTGCTCTGAATTTGCCATTGTCTCAAAACTTCTCTTTTCAATGCTGCAAGGGATTGAATACCACTAACTTAATTTACTTTGGAAACAAAAAGAAAATGTCTAGAGTTACTTCCTTTATTTTACAAATCCAGCTAGTCCTGGGGAAGATACTTGATAAAGATGCCCTAAATTTTCAGGTCTAACCAGACAGAGATTTCTAAGGTGGGAAATGGCAGAAGGCAGCATAGTGGGGTCTGTGGTGTTGTACCAGCTGAGCAGGCACGCCAGGAGAGGGCTTTGTGGATCCAGGGAACCTGGATCCCTTTCTGACCCAACCAAATAGCCTAGATTAAACCCATGGGTACTGTTGATGAATAGTGTCAGATTTAGTTCTGCTGTTGAAGTTGGATTTGCTGTATTTGAACCCAGTTTATGAAGAAGGTACTACTGAGTGTAAATGCACAAACTGACCTCCCTGCTTTTATCTGGGAGAGCTCTCAAGCACTGCTACCTTCATACCAGCCTTCCAGTGGGAAACCTGGTGGTAGCCATTGCTCTGAAATGTTAATTTCTGCCAGACCAACGTGTTTTAATTAAGCCAAATGATGTGTTCTGAACAACTTTCATTATGAATTTGGTTCTCTTTCTGGTACATTATTTTCTGAATGCTGACACTGATTTTCAGACAATGTTTTTTTGAGCCATCCCTTCAGCTGATCTCAGTCAACAGAGCTCCTTGAAGCTTTGAAGTTAATGATGATAAGTTCATACAGATCAGCTGAGGATCCTGATTTACAATTTCTTTATATGCTACACAACAGTGTAAACATATTTTTTACTAGGTTGCACATAGGATCCACCTTTTCCAAAGAGGCATTTCTGGAACGTGTTTTACAGTGTTTTATATCCCTGTGTTTTGTTTTTCTCCAGGCTTTTGAAAAAGGAAGAAAATTTTATTTTTATCCCTCGTTCCCGTGAAGAGCTTCCAGAAAACTTTCCAAAGGAAATTCCTGGGATCTGTTACTTCCTGGAGGTCAGAAGTGGTCAGAAGCCGCCAAAACCTTCCATCCCATCTGCCAGAGTGAGAAAGGTGTCTTACAACATCGGCACCATGTTCCTCCGGGAGACCAGCCTATGAGGCCTGCTGCAGATCAAAGACTTGTCAAAAAAGCACAAGCCCAGAACTGGGTCATGACAGGGGAGTTGGAGGTTCTTTGTGTTTCGCTGCCTTCTTCTGAACAGGCAGTAAAAGCTCCATGTAATGTCAGGCAATAATCATTTTAAAAGGTGGGTAACTGCTGTCGGGAAACAAAATGGAGATAGGGAAAAATATTAAACAATGTACTTCCACTTCCAGAGGAATTTCTTTCATAAACTTCAGTCTGGCCCCTCTATGGCAAACAAAACAACGAAACAAAACCCCAACTCTCAAATTAGAGGTTGGTCTTGTTTTGTGCAGAAAGGATGATGGTTCTCTGTAGATTTGCACCAGCTAAGCAGAATTGAGAGTCAGTTCTGATTATGCATTCCTATATTTAATGTGTTCTTCAGTAAGGTAATGATGTTTTTTAACTTTATGAACAAGCATTTCATACATATACTGTAGAGCTATTGTAACCTTCCTGGCAGGAGGAATTATGACTCAATACAAATATTGTAGGAATTTTACCTATTTTTATACATATTTCACTTTCTGGATAATTACATTCCACATACTGTAAGCTGAGTGAGCTTAGATAGCTTTTCAGAAGAAGTTACTGTATATTTCATACATTCTACCTATCAAACCTTATTGTTATACAAGTGGGAAGAAGGCATTTCTTGACTTTTTTGGCAACAAAAAAAAAGAATCAATATTTACAGAATAAAACCCCCACTTTGATAGATCACTTTATCTGGTTTTTATGCTAAAGCTTTAGATGAGCACTGTCTTCTTATATAGAATAATGTTCAGTATTTGTCCTACAGTGTTGTATGTCCAGCCCTTCCAGGACAATGTAAACAAAGTTCAGAAGATCAATATATGGACAAACAGAAAAGTTCTCTTGTTTTCCCTCTAAATTATTAGCCAAACTGATCTTCAGCAGAAGCCCTGAACTTCTCTAAAATTTTGATCTTGTGAAAACTTATTCTGAGGAATTCCAGAGGACACTGGAAGATCTCTGGATGGTTTTCCACATTTTTTTAATAGGACTTGTGCTCCTAGTCCAGATTGATAATTGAAAATCCATTCTGTTGATAATGATTGTTCATTTGGAAACTTCCTCTATTGTTGGATTGGCTGAAAGTCCCCTACTTTATCTAGCTGAGATCAAAAGAACTTCAAAAAGGGAAAGGCAGTACTTTTCCAGGTTTAATGCAAATGGCAGTTCAAGATTTTTGTTAGTCCAAGACAATTAAAAAAAAAAAAAGAAAACAAAACCAAAAAACAAACAAAACCAAAACCAAACAAAAAAAAAATCAAAAAAAGGCCAATTCTTTGCTGTTGAAAATTAATACAGTATTATTGTCTTCAATTAATCCAGTTCAAGCAAGATGTGTATCTGGAACATTTTCAGGCATTTTTTATTTCTCAGGGTTTCTTTTTCACAAGTAGTGGTGGTCAGTTTTCCTGTGTGGGTGTGCTGCCTTTGGATCCTGCTGGGGTGGGTGATGTTGTTGTGAGCTTGCAGATTGTTAGTTAAAATCTGTGCCATGGTTCCAAAGTGGCTTAGCTGCACGTGGGCCTTTAATCACTTCAATCAAAGATAAGACTCAGCAGCAACTAGGAGGCATAAGATACTCTGCATTTCTCTAATTCAGAACAGAAATTAGTTTGCTTATGGATTTAGTAGTCACAACATGAGACACCTCTTGAAAATAAGTAAATAACTTTCACCACATTTCAAGATTGTCCAGCTGGATCTTTCTGTGAAGGGAATGACAGTTCTCTATTTCTCCCCTTTGACCAGTAGCCCCTGTGAGTCAGCATGGCACTGCTAGCCTGTGCTGAGAATGTTTCAAGATCCTTTTCCATGAAGCCTTTCTGGATGAGAAAGGACTGTCTTGAACCGTCACCGACTTCAGCAGACAGACAATGTCTGAACTTATTGTGCAGGGGTGAGTTCTTCCTTGTGTAAGGAGGGTAGATGCATGGGAATTAGCCCCAAAATCTATTTTAATGCAAATTTCCTCACTTTCTAGTGGGATACTGATGTTAAAGATTTCTTCCATTGGTATTAGAGCATTGTTGGGATTAGAGTTGTTATTTTTTCATCTACCTTGATAAACAGCATATGGAGTTTTGTGGTCTATCTAAAAAATTACTTTAGAAAACTGTTCAATTTGAGATTGTGAAATTTCCATCCAAATTACAGATCTGAGAATTTCCTGCACAGGATGACAAGTTTTAGCCTATAGCCATTAGTTTGCACATAGACAGGATGTAGCATGCATTTTTTTACCCTGGGAACACCAGTGAGATGTGTAAGAATCAGAAATGGATCAAAGTTCATGTTTCACCACTGAAAGAGGATCCTATGTCCCAGCTAATAAATCCATAGTTCTGATGTCATTACTTAGCTCCCTAGAGTGATTTTTTTTTTCAAATAGTCATTAGTAGATTTAGATTTCAGTCTGACTTCTCTGGCACCTCTTCATTGTTCAGTAGTTGCTGGTGTCAGAGTCCCAACCTATCTAGCCAAGCTCTCTTTTTCTCTTCTCCCCACCCACACTCCTATGTGAAGAGTACAGATTTAGAGGTTTAGACCAAAAGCTTGTAGTTCAATATCTTGTCTCTTACAGTTGTTAGTAAGAAATGTCTAGGTTAATTCTGCACCTGATCTTGATAATGGAAACATTTTCATAGCAAATGATGGATAAATGCTAGTTTTACTGACAAATTGGAGAAGCAATCAAAACCAGTTTGTATCACCATCCTCATCCTCTCAGAGACTTTTTGTTGTATAAGGAGACTTAAAATCAGAGAGATCTGTGTGAGAACTGGTACCACCATTGATAGCGTTTGCAAATAAATCATCTAGCTCCCCAAATGAGACTACACTGACTGTATAAAAATATGCAGTCTTTGTTTTTCATAAGCTTATGTAAAGGTAACATATCTGGAACTGCAGATGCTAGGTATTACGTTATTTGTGTTATGATGAGGGATGCTAATGAAAAAAGTGTGGGCTCTCTGGGGACATTTTTCTATGTCAATATGAGGAAGGTGTAAAACAAACTCTCAGCACTTTATAAATTAGTAGTTTCATCTGCTGCCTTTCACATTCGGTTGCAAGCTTATTTTTTTGGATACCTTTACAAAGTGAAATGAACCTTTTTATCAAGATTGATGTTGTCATGTCAATTAGGTGGTAGTCAGCCTCAGCATTTCTCCAACAACGCTTACTTTTAGTGATAGAGAAAAGGCTCTCATTTTCCTGGCATTGTCTTATAAATAGAAAGGTTCTCAGAATTCTGTACCTTGAGATGATGAGGTGAAGAGGTTAGAGGTGCTGAAATGGTTACAGAAATAATATACTCTAGTTGGAATTTTCTTTCAACTTTTTACTTCCTATGAAACAGAGGATCTTTGGCTCCTCTGAGTAAGAATTTGCATTCTTGTGTTTCTTCACGTAGCTGCAAGAAGCCACATCTGCTCTCTTGAGTTTCTGTGCAGAGCAAATCTCCCCTCTCTGAAAAGAGAAGGCGGAGATCTATTTTGTATTGCATGTACAATTCGAAGGGAAGGTGATGTGAGGATCCCCCTACTGGGTTCATCAATCTCTTTGTGGCCAGTTGCTTGTACAAAGGCCAAAGTAAAGAGAGTCCACAGCCATTTCCCCAGATCACTTTTTACAGATCTTGTGTCAGATTCTTCCATCTGTTTGAAGCTCTCCATCACACAGGCCTTTCTGTGATGCAGTTCATAGAGATCATGAACTCAGGGCAAAAGGGAAATAGTGATGAAGTGGTAGGGTGGTGGATAAATTTTGTTTTGCATCCCTCTGGTAAAATTTGCCATTCAAAGAAAAAAGCCTCTGCATGGGAGAATTGCTACTAAGCCAGGACTCTCAAATTGTGGTTTTCTTGCAGGATCCCAAAGGATATTTCAGTTTTAATTTCAGAGAGCCAATAGTCATTAACTGTGATTGTGGTTTTGGCTTCTCTGCTCATTCCCACATTCTGTTTCAGATCTGAGTCTGTTTTGAAGCCTGGAAACATGCCTCTGCAAACAGAAAACCAAAGCTCTTAAAACCTTGGAAATCTTGTATGGGAATTGCCTGTTTTGAAGAAATGCTTGTGATTGAGTCATTAACAGTCCATGGCAGTTCATGTGTGTGCACATGCCATTTCACAGTGCTGTCTCCTCTTGTGCTTACAGTGTTCCCTACCAAGCCCAACAGCAGGATTGGGCATATTTAACATCCATCTTACATTTTTCCTATATAAAGCAAGCAGTGCAAAACCATGACATGCTGCATGCATTTAAAAGTATCAGCACTGCACTAAGATGTAATCTCTGGTAACCAGTTTCGTATTGTATATTTCTTGCTCTGAATTGATCCTTCTCTCAGGCAATTTAAAAATGAATGGAAAAAAAAATAGCACCCAAAACTGCTATGTTGCATTGCAAATGAGTCTGAGAGCTGCATTGGTTGTTGGGGCAAGCTGAATTGCTGGACAACTTTCTGGTTCTTGAGCTGCCACAAGCTGTCACATGTACGTGCTTCATGCAGACAGTCCTGTCAAGGAATCTGTAATCCAGCAGCAGGGACATGTGAGTTTTCCTCTTCTAGTCTGAGGCCGCTATTTCACCTCTGCTGAGTGCACAGAGCTCACTGAGGAGAGCTAATTCCCTGTTCTAATGCAGTCTCAGAGCTTCTGGCTTCCTTTCTGGATTCTGGCGATCTTTTGCAAAATTGTGCATGTGTAGTATTGGAAATAGCAGCGTGCTTAAATTAGCAACAAAACAAGAAGCTAAAAAAAGCTTGTCAAACTCAGAGACAGTTGGTTCCTTTCCCTTGAGGTGATACATTATTCATAATGCTGTACAGGATTGAGGGTGCCAGTGACAGGAGAGGCTATGGATGAATTAAAGATGCTGAGTGTGCAGTAGACTCAACAAGTAGGAGTTGATTGGCTTGTGCTACTGTTAATAATTCCATCTTCTTGCATGCTGTGTCCTGCTCTTGTCAGGGTTCTGCTCTCCAAAAGATTTCCACTTACCTTCCCTTAGCACACTGTATGTGACATAGTGAATAATCCCTCTTGTTGTTCTAATTAGCATATATTGTTGACATGGCTGCTTACATCTAAAGAATAACTGGTGTTAAAGGGCTGATCTTACTCTTCTGGCAGCAGAGACAAAACTGCTACGGTGGCACAGCAGGCACTCACATCCTTAGAGAGGAAAAAGAATGCAGTGCAAGTTTCCACTGGTGGATTTGGGTGAAGTCATTGCATGAACAGCCCATGGCATGTTTTTTAGCTTTCACAAGCACCAAATTTATCTGTGCAGATAGGAGTTACTCCTTAACGATGTTATTCGTTTGCAATGCATGAGCAGGCTTACAACAAAAATCTGCGAAGTGTTTAACCTCATACACATGATTGATCTTTTGTGGCTTGGCTGTTAATCTTGCTTGAAAGCAAGAGAGACAGTGAAACTGAGGAATGCAGCAATTCAGTCACAGGCAACAGATCATTCACCTCTGCAGTTGCTACCTTGCTCCTGTGGCTTAGAAAGGTTGACCTCCAGTTGTCTGTGGTCCAGGTTAGTGTCACTGTGTCACTGTAGCAACAGAATGGCCTCTGAAAACAGCATGAGGCATCTCAGTCTGCTTCCCTCTGGGCTAGGGTTCACATTAGAGAGCCCAATACAACATGTGATGCAAAGTGGCAACTTTGCTGGCAGCCTTAACAAAAGAATCAGTGGAAGCAGATGTTAAACCAGCTGTTTGCTCCAGGGATT